GCAGAGAAGCAGGAGCAGGAGCAGGAGCAACGCACCAGGCCAAAATGACAGCCAGCGGGAGTGGTAACCTGGCTTAAGCGTTGGACAAAGTTTTTACCAAACAGCTTTCATTTTTCCATGGCAACCGAGAGATATCTTTCCATTTTTTCAGCTCCCATTGCTCCTCCTCGCTTTTCTCCCCACCAAACACATGGCTTTTGTATTCAAAGAAAGATACTACTGTGTATAATACAAATATCGTAAATACTGCTGCGCCGTGTTGAAAGTTTTTCAATTTGAGCCGCTTTAAAGTATTTAGCCAACTCTCTTTTCCCAGAGTGCCATCTTTCAGCTGTGTTATTCAATTTCAAAAAGTATGAATTGCGTGAAAATCTGTATAAATCATTGAGGGAAAAAAACAAAACAAAACATGTCTAAAAAAAAATGAAAATCTTCATTGTTTTCAATTTCGATTTTGTTCCACTTGCTTCTGCAGCCTAATGACAATTTGATAAGAGTATCGAAAAGAAAAGAAATAAACGCACATTTCCGACAGCAGAATGCATTGTATATATACATAATATATTATTTATTTATATATATTTGAGAAAACTTTAAGACATGAAGTTTATTTCAAAAGTATTTCTACATTTTCTTCAAAAGGACTAAGGAAACCTTTTCAATAAATTCTTGAAAAATATAAATAAATATTGTATCTTATTAAATTAATGTATTGTATTATCATATATTAAAGTACCCTTTTTAATCAATTCTTGAAAAATATAAATAAATATTATATCATATTATAAATTATTAATAAGCCGAAAACTACATTCAAATTTAATTTAAATAAACCAGTAACAAGTGTTTCGAAGTAGTTCAATACTTTTTGATCTTGCCCAATCGGAGCCATAAATATTTCCCTGAAATTTTGAAACATTAATCAAAAATTTTCACACCTCCAGCGAAGCTAAACTCCTCTGCCCATTCACCTCCTGTCCTGATCAACAATCCTGAGGGTTTAGTTTGGTTGAATTTGTTTCCCTGTTTGTGTAAATGTTTCGTATTGTTGACATTTGCTGGTCATGAAAAGTCATTAAATATATTTCTCTAATTTATCTTTCGACTGTGGCAGCTTCGGTCGGTGGTGGTAATGGCATTAAAGTGGAGTTGGGCAAAGTGAAAGAAAGCGGAAATGTTTGTCTGGGCAGCACTGCCTGGTTTGGGACCTCTGTGGTCTGATCTCTGAGCACCCATCCTTCCATTCTTCACCCTTCAACCCTTTTCCCGCCCGCTAATTAAAACTAATCCCGAGCAAAGGACCCAGCCTTTCAGGGTGTTGTTATACTTTTCGCATAACTGTCAATCAGTCCCACAATTAAATGATTGAAGACACTCAACTCGGTCTTAGTTTCCGTATATCCCTTTCAGGTTCAAGCTATTTCTTAAGCAATAAAATATATATATTTATACACATACGAGTATGTGTAGTTTTTACTTAGCTCGAGCTGGTTTAGTTTGAATGCATATCAAGTGGATGCAGATACAAAATGTTTTCATGAGAAATTGACTTTTTCCATTGCTCCAAAGACGACGTCGTCGTCAGATGTCTGTTGGCTGTTGTCTTCCTTTGGCCGGAATGATTAATGGTTCTGCTCTTTGCGCATTCGTCGGCCCACACCAGCGGCAACAAAAAGACACCCAGCAGCTACACATTTGTATCTGTATCTGTATTTGTATCTGTAGCCGTAGCTGTTGCTCTGTATCCGACTGTATCCGAATCTTTTTGTGGCGCTGAATGAGAATTTCTACTGCATAGCGCATCAGCATTTGGCGTTTTCAGCTACTGAGCCTCCGCGCCATTGTCTCCCAGTTTTTATTGTGGCTCCCCCACTCTGATTGAATTCGCCTCGGTACTTGCAGATACTTAAGGTTATCGCCTGGCCTTTAAAGTTTCAACCGGCTCGTTGTCGCTCAACCGCAGAGGGCTCACATAATTTAAGGCCAAGTCAAGGCAAAAGCTCCCCATCTCCGGCTAGACCGAAGCCTACAAGATAAATTGAGGTCATTTTTTGTGGCCACCTTTGGTCAGTCCGTTGTCCGGGTTCGAGTTCGGGTTCGAGTTCCAGTTCGGGTTAGGGCTAGGGCTGGGTCTTTGGTCCGGGTCCACCTTGTTGACCGGCCACAAATGTCCTTAATGTGCATCCTTATGGACTGCGGTCATGTGCAAGTGGTCGAGATGGTCGAGCCCAAAAAATGGCCCCATCCTTAACTACTTACGTAAGTATGCACGAGTAGTTAGCGTTGGGCAAACAGCCACGAGTGTACAATCCATTCTGAACATTTCCCTGGCATGTGAGTGGGGCGGATGATTTAGACACGAAAGTGGGACGAGAACTATGTAGATGCACTAAAAGGAAAGTCCAACCAAGTAGTTTATTTGAATTCAGAAAAAATACAACATTTTGTGGTTAACTTAAACTCATCTTATTTGTCTTTATCAATCGATTTCGTTAGCTCAAATAGGAGTGAATTCAAATTGAAAAGTTATTTTGTTGTTTGAAATAAAATGGGTTGAACTTAATTTTTTTTTTCAGTACACTGATTATATTACGCGTTTCTAGCAAAAAAGGGCACATTCTGGCCACCTTTGACCATTGTGCAATTGTTGCAGAATTTACGCTCGTTTTAATTTCGGCCCAAGAGAGCGGCAAATGCGTTAAATGTTCCGCTTCTGGGCAAACTCTTTCCCGCCCGGCTTCTGGTGCTTTTCAGTGGGTGAGTTCAACCCGAAATAGAAACATAAATCCTGACTTTCAGCAGGAGAGGTGGCGAAAGAAAGGTCCTGCTAGTGGACAACGAGTGCGCTTAAGTGTTAACATGTAAATGATGCTGTTGAAGCAGTTAATAAGTGTATGCCAGGGGCTGTAAATCATCAGAAGCGTTTCCTCTCCGTCTGCCTGGCCATTTAAATTAATTTTATTTGCCGACCAACACGTAGATTTACGAGCAAATAATAACCCAGTGATGATTGTGAATATTAAACTGGGGGATTGCTCCTCCCATCCAAAATCTCTCCAGTTAACCTAATCCAAAGGCAGCTGCAAAGTATCCTTGGCTCGTAGTTTGCTGATAAGTTTCCATTCTGACTTTTCCGGCATTTCATCCATGCTGATGACATTTCCAATGTCTCCCCCTCCGGCCTTCTGGCCCTCTGGCCCTCTGGCCATGACAAAACAAAATTCATTTTGTAATTTCCAAGCCACCTAGAATGGGCCAAACCAGAACGGGCCAGCTGTCATTTGGGGAGTTGTCGGGTGGTGGGGCGGTGCGGAATCCATTTTGACCAGGCTGCAGAAACTGCACTCAACTCAACTTGGCTGCCTAGAATCTTTCCCACTCCCCACACGCCCCTTCCGCCCACCGCCCCCCTTTCCGCCCCTGTGGCTGTGCCACGCCCTCCGCTCGATTCGGGTTTAGAAAATTATCTTTTTGCTCGTCGTCGCCAAAAAGGAAATCATATTTTCTGCTTTTGTGCACTTTACTTTTCAGTTTTCGTTGGCTGCCTCCAGTTCGCTCGTAAACAGTTTTCGGGTGCAACTTTTGTGCGAAATTTATGCTTTCATTCCGTATCTGTATCTGGGCACTTTTCGCACAAGTACATGCGACTTGGGGCAGGGAAGTGGATGGCGAGGAAATGGCCCTCCTCCTCAAATTGGCTGTGTGTGTGTGTGTGTGTGTGTGTGCCCCACCAGGTGGTGTTTATGGCATCCGCTCTGCGAGTATTGATGAAGGAACTCGGGCCCGCATCTGTAATTCAATCAGTGTCTATGTCTGGCTCCAGGACCTCCTCTCGTCCTGCTCCTGCCAGGATCCCCTTCCCCCTCTATTGAGACCCTGTTTACGCAGCTCGTTCAGCTGGAAGTTTCACGTTTCGCGTTTGTTGCCAAAAGGCGAAAAAGTACAAAAATATTTTGCAATCGCATCAATGCAAATAAGGTGGCAGAAGCTCGACGGCGGGAAAAGGTAGCGAAATGTTCAGTTTCCTAAAATGATATGCGCATTTATTTACTACTCGATGCGATTTTTATTTGTGAAATTTATTTTCAAGAAGTTGCCAGGCAGTGGGGCAGAAGAAACTTTCTCATCTCTGTCATTAGAAATGGTTTATTTTGCGACATATGGATAGATCTAAGGATTTTGTATTAGATAATATATTGAATAAAAAATTTTTATTTGAAATTATATTCTAAAGAGTGATAAAAAAGGTGATTGAAACTATATCTGTTTTTGACACTATTTGGATAATCGAGTAAAAATTTCTTTGAGCTTCTGAATCGAATAATGTTAAAAACTCAAGTAGTAAAATTTCTATAGTTCGAAATACCAATAAACTTATAGTATGGACATCCCCTTTGAGTCATTTAATTAAGTTTTTTTTGTGGAAAAAAATTAAAATAATTTTCTGTTTGTTATTCAAATGAAGTTTTTCTCTACTCCCCTGGAAGCTATTTCCCAACAAAGCTGCTGGCTGGGGCTTCTGTTCGGTAGCCGAACTACTTGAGAGCCGGGCTGTGGGCACGTCTCTTTCCCACTGATTGATTGATTAGATTTTTGTTAATTACTTAACGCTCGAGCTGCGAGTGTCGCGTCTCGAAGGCGAAGGAAAACGCTCGAAGCGAGGAACTTACCGCGCGGCATCAGCTGCACTTTTTGGCGGTACGCTGGAATATCCTGAAAGTTTTCTTATCTCGCTGGGCGAGTTTCGCTGAATTAGTTATGCCCTCTGACGAGCTGATAGATTGATTACGGGCGGAGATAGCGAGGTGGAAGCCTTGGGACTCAAGTCCGCCTTCCTTTCCCACTGCGAATGCAATCTGTTGACGAATGTATGTGCCACGGCCACGCCCACACGGGGACATGTTAACTGGAAGCCCCTGCGAACAAATAAAGCAAAATCGAACAAATTCACATTCACTCCGCAAGTCTCAAACGAACAAAATGCAATTTCTCAATTGCAGCTGAATTCGTTCCAGAAAACGGCCTGCCCCGACGACTCCGCACCGCGTACACCAACACCCAGCTGCTGGAGCTGGAGAAGGAATTCCACTTCAATAAATATTTATGCCGCCCAAGGAGGATCGAGATAGCAGCCAGCCTGGACCTCACCGAGCGACAGGTGAGTGCCTTTGCTCCGCCGGTGCAATTTATTCCGCTGCACTCGCACTCGACTGCGGAATTCCATTACTCCGCTGACAAATTGCTCGTTGCAATCCCCCTCCCCCTCCCCCTCTCCTTCCACTTTTAATTGCACACACCTTGGCGGAAGTCGAACTAATCCCATCTGGTTGCAGGTAAAAGTTTGGTTCCAGAACCGCCGCATGAAGCACAAGCGGCAAACGCTCTCCAAAACCGACGACGAGGACAACAAGGACAGCCTCAAAGGTGACGATGATCAGTCCGATAGTAGTAAGTAAAAAACATATATACACTGATATATCTGATAAGCTTTACAGTTAATAATTATAGTTGTATTGGATTTAAACTTGCTGAAAGTAGAAGAGAAATGATGGGGAAATAAAATAGGAGTGCAATGATCTGTTCAATAGTTCTACTCTTAGAAAGCCTTTAAAAAAATATAAAGTAAATTACCTAAGTGGAGATTTACAAAGTAGGGGAGACCGGGGGGTTTTGAGACGGGTTTTGTTTTTTGACAAAAAATATAATAGAAAAGCCATTTTTCTGCCCGTACAAATTTTTAAATCATAGTTCAGTGTAATTTCACTCAGACAAGAGTATAATTAGTTGAAATTTTAGTTCGACCTTCAAGTTTTGCCTGCCTGCTCAAAAGTTGTTTTTTATGGATTTTCGCAATGTTCGGGGGGTTGTGAGACACAAATTTATAAGAATGAAAATGGCTTCATTTTATCAAAATTGTTTATTTTAATCTTTAATAAGGCATCTTTTGTGGTCTACAATTTATTCAAATTGAAAAGATTTCGACTTTTTCTCGATAGCAACCTCTTTTATAGCAGCCACAAAAACTTTGACATCAATCGCAGATTTGGCAGTCTGACTATACTTATGACGCACCATGATGACTAAAGAAAGAAAAAACGATCATCAAAAACACTGAATCCATCACAAATATCAAAATTATCATTAAACGTTTTGGCTGTGTACAGAAACACTATATCAGGCTATAAAATACAATTTTATGTTCCTAGATGACGCGGTAATAGAATGTCTCATAACCCCCCGAGAACGTTGTCTCACGACCCCCCAATAGCTATATTTTAAATATGGCTACTGCTTTACGGACGCATTAAATGATTATGCAAAATTTGTTCCGTGTGTCAAAAGGCTACTCACCAAGGAATGTTTCGGATATATGCACTCTCGCAAATAGCTTGTAAAACAAAGCGAAAAGACAGCAAACACGAACGGTCTACAAAACTTTCGATCACAAAATTGGAGTTGCTATTTGGGAAGACATAAAGAATCGGCATGAGCGGAATATTTGTGATGTGGATATGAAGATTGGAAACAAGCAAGAAGTTTCGAAGTCAGCTGGTAGATGTCGCGCTTTTTAGTTCAGGGCTGTAAGCGCGTCTCACGACCCCCCGTGTCTCATGACCCCCCGGTCTCCCCTAACTTAATTTGAACCAGAATTCACCAAAAATCTAAGCAAAAGACAACAAAGTTTTTGCCATTGGCTGCTATTGCATAACGAAGTAAGAAAAATTCATGTTGTGTGATGTTTAGCATAAAGCATAGGCTCTTTTATAATAATTATAATATCTTTAAAATAGGTGGTAAAGCTTATGTTTTACCTTATAAGCAAAATAAAATATTTGCTATGAATTCTTAAAGATAGTAGGGATGAAAGTAATTTTTGGAAGTACGTATATTTCTTTTCCGCTTTAAAAGTATGCAGAAAACACGAAAACTGTACCAAAAATGGAACTCGCTTTATGGAGTTTACCAACAAGTTGTTCCACTTTTACTTTTCGGTTTTGCATGGTTTCGTTTTTGAGGCTTTTACGCCGAAGTAAGAGATGGTGTAGCTTATCAATCATTGTCAGAGGATGGGATGGGATGCGATGGGATGGAACGACTTTTGGCAGGGCGGCCCTCGACGTGCTAACCCCTTTCGCGTGAGAGTTTCGGCTTTGGTTCTCGACTCACAACCCAGTCCTCTACTTACGAAAACAAATCATCAATATTCGTGGGCACATACCTACTGACTCGCTTTTATCTTACCTTCCCGTGAAATGCAGACTCCAATTCGAAGAAGTCGTGTCAAGGCTGCGAACTGCCCTCCGATGATATCCCCGATTCCACGTCCAATTCCCGGGGTCACAACAACAACACGCCGAGCGCCACCAACAACAATCCGAGTGCTGGCAGCCGTAAGTTGGGAACTAGAAATCTGCTATCCTCTTACTAATTATCACCTAATCCGTAGTTACTCCCAACTCGTCCCTGGAAACGGGCATCTCCTCGAACCTCATGGGCAGCACCACCGTTTCCGCATCGAATGTGATCAGCGCCGACTCCAGTGTGGCATCGAGTGTCAGTTTGGACGAGGACCTCGAGGACAGCAGTCCCATCAAGGTGAAGAAGAAAGACGACGGACAGGTTAGTAAATGTTTCACACCTAGAATGCTTTAAGCAGGGAAAACACAATTAGTTTACCAAATTTCTGAAATACGCAAGCACCTGCATATCCTTCTAATATAATACTATTGGCATAACAGAAAAAAATGCTTATAGGATTCTTACATTTTTTTATATTTTTTAATATCTCAAGTTTTTTGAACTCTTAAATCAATAAACTTACTTGGCTAGTTGGTTTCATGATGATTAACCGGGATTTAAGTCATGATAACTAAAGTTATCATACTGCTAACAGAAATTAAAAACAACAAAATTCTTATTTGGATAGATAGTAATTCTACATTAAATATGCAAATACACGTATGTACCACACATAATTTTGATTAATAATTAAGGTTGCCAAACTAATATACTATATAGAATGCCGGTTTCACTGCAAACTTCTTAAACGCTTGAAGCTATTTTGTATATCCTTTTGTGTGTGTCCTTCTTCAGGTAATCAAAAAGGAGGCGGTGTCCACCTCGTCGAAGGCCTCGCCCTTCGGCTACGAGAGCTCCACGCCCAGTCTGGTCAGTTTTCGAAGGGAGTCGGATGCCGCGACAGTTGGAAATGCACCCACCACCAAGGCGGGCGGCAAGAAACGCTTTCAGAGTGCCGCCAATGCCATTGCCACGCCCACTCCGCTGACGGACAGCAGTGGTGCAAATGGGGGGTGGAGGTAACCAAGCCGGTGGCTACTTCCCAGGCTATTATCCTGGTCCCAAGCAGCAGCAGCAAATGCAGCAGCAGCAACTGCAACCGCAGCAGCAGCAGCAGGACTACTACGGCAAGTACGACATCGAATTCGCCGCCTCGCCGCACCACAATCCGCACAACAAACAGCAGGCGCTGCACGGCGAGTATCTGAGCCCGAAGCCAAATGCGGCCAACTTCCACCAAAACAGTCAGCAACAGCAGCAGAGCGACCAGTTCTACTACAACTACAACGACTCCAACGGCAGCGCGTACTTGAGCCACCAGCAGCAGCACCACCAACAGCACCAGCAGCAGCAGCACCACCACCACGTTGCCGACTTCGAGGCACCCGTCAACGGACCCAGCAACTTCAACAACGGCGCCTACTACGACAACATGAGCTTTCAACAACAGACGCCGGCTCACCAACACCAGTCGGTGGTGTTCCAACAGCAGCAGCCCCACCAACAGTCAGCAGTAAATCACCAGTGAGTATTGAAATATATTAAATATTAAATTTATTTTCCTGACACGATTGATAGTTAAGTCAGTATATTTAAACTTTTAACTCGTTAGAATTTGATAGATAGGTAGTTTTTAATTTATTTTAAAAGGCATATTAAATTCCTTCTTCCCTTTTTAATATATTTTGTAGAAGAGTTGTAGAGAGAATATACATATACCTTTAAATTACCTTTTGATGTCTTTCCAAACAAATTCTATAAATTCCGGTTTCTTTACTAATCCCAGTATTAATACTAGATTCAACTTGATTTTCATTGAAAAGAGAATCAATCTGATCATGGTATGGTATATCAGTCATACGACTGAATATAAACAAGCACCTAAAACTAACATCTTCGTTCATATGATTAAAACAATTGTTTTTATTTTATTTGTGAATCATTAAATCACGCATAAGAACCCATTACCGAAATATTAAAAAAATATTGTTGGAGTTTTAGTCATCTTAATTCAGTGTATGAAACAATTTAAAATTTAAAAAAAATTAGTGAATTAAATTACGTTCTTTAGATTTGTATTGTTCAAAAGATGTTAATTTCCAGCAACAATTTCCGCAACAAACGAAGTGGCAACCTGACATCAGTAGTTTAGCAAGTGGGCACTTCAATGCTTTCAAAACCTTTTCAGTACTCCGACAATTTATCATGGTTGCTGTCTAAGCTACCTGCCAACACTTCACAGCACTGGCAAGCTATCCAATTCACAAACGTATAAAGTCGAGTTGGTTCTCAACTTCGATAAGCTTTAGCATTTCAGACGTTTCTGTAATGGCCGCGTAGGTGGCGCCAAACAAATAAAGCTCTTCTATACTTTGTATAGTTACTGTGGGTTAATCCAATTGGACCTGTTATTTGGTCAGAATGCTGCTCGTTTTTTGCCTCTGACAATCGATTTGCATTTTTAACTCAAAATTATTTTAATTTTGTTGTATTTAATGTATTATTTACATTACAACAACTACAGAAAACCCTAGAGACCAATAAAATGTTACCCCAATAACCTAAACACTTAACTTGTAAAATGTTACAGATTATCTGGCGCTAACATTTCAGAATCAAGTTTTATTGCATCTCTTGGGCTATGAATGCACTTTAAGGGCTATTAATATGAATTCAAGAAAAGTGTTAATTGACCCAAGACTGCTGGCCTGATTACGAGTTCTCACCTTGCCCCTTCTTTTCCCCACAGGCACATGCATCACCTGGGCGCAGGAGAGACGTACAGTGCTCTTGGCCTGCAGATGGAGAACTGCGAGGGCTACAACAACTTCGGGGCCGCCGGGAGCGGAGGTGGCTACTACGAGGCGGGTCAGCAGCCGCCGGGTCCCTCCGCCCACGGCAGCCATGGCCACCACCCGCACCACCACATGCCGATGCCGGCGCAGGCGCACATCCACGCCCACCACAACTCGGCGGCGATTCCGGGGGGCGTGGGAGTTGGTCCTCCGCCATCCCACATCCACGGGTTCGCCATCAACGGAGGAGCAACTGGCCAGGGCCAGGGATTCGGAAACAATGGAACCTCCGCGGCTGGAGCGGCTGCGATCAGCGGGCTGGAGAACTCGAACAGCTCGGACTTCAACTTCCTGAGCAACCTGGCCAACGACTTTGCGCCGGAGTACTACCAACTCAGTTAGTTCATGTAGGAAGTGAGCCAGAGGCCAGTGTAAATAAACCTTAGCCTAGTGCGCCACGTGGGCGAGAGTCTTCAAATTCTATTCAGTGTCGTAGTTTCTTAAGCACCTTGTCCGTAGCACATATCTGTAAATACAAAAGCGTATATTTAAATCTGAACAGGAGTTCTATTTCACGTTTCTAGGCTAAATAAATCGAAAATGTCTTGAGTTTGGTTTGGCTCGAAGTCAAAGTGGGGCTCTACATTAAAAATTCCATTTGAAAATAAGGGAGAAACAGAAATTGTATATAGTTAGACAAATTCATCTACTTTTACACAAGTCCTAATCAATGACATAAATGACTAATTAACAATTGATTATCTGTGTTCTGTAAATACCTAAAGTAGCCTAAATCAAAACGTAACACCCAACTTAATCTAAAAGAAAACTATTAAAACAAATTTGAATCACTCTGATTCAAGTGCAATTTCTCTATGAACGAACTTTGTTTTAGGAACTTAAGCAGTCTCAATTATTTCAATATTTGTCATGTTTGTAGTTGCTCTACTTTTCTCATAATAGTAAACAAACATTTATTATAAATATGATTAGAAATATTGGCTTAAATATCTTTGTAAGGAGAAAGAATAAAAACTAATTAAGATATAAAACATTTGTTCATATAATGGATAAGGAAACAAAAATATCTTGCTGAGATTTAGAACTTCGGGGTGGAAAAGCTATTATTCAATTTAAAAGTTACTCAAAAAGAATGTTGTTCCTGTTGTTACTTTAGTTCACTAGTGCCATCAATAACATTTTGCGGGCGTAGATCAAATTTTTAATTATCTCTGCAGATATCTATTCGCAAAGAGAAGTGATCTCAGAAATTGTCTCCTCTCTGGGGGAGAGATCAGACATTTTTAAAGATAAGACCAACGCTTTGTGGTATGGGACGTTATCCTATTGAGACATAAAGGATTTTCCAATAAGCCGGTCTCCAGAAGTAAAAGCATTATCATTTAGGACCGAATGCCAAAGACCCCTAGAACATCACAGAGCCTCTACCGAGGCCTACGAGGCTTGGGAATCGGGCCGCCTTTTTTGTCTTTGTATTATTGGCAATCTTACAAAAAATCTTACAAAAAAAAGTTGATGATTTATACACAAAGGAGCTTTGATCAAAACGCTTCTCCAGAACCCTTATGGCTTATGAAGATGTTTCTTTGCAAAATACAGTATTTCAAGCGTATTTGGCTTATTAATCGTCGACGGTCTGTGCGCTATCTAATTGGAGTCTTGGCTGTTAAATGAAATTGATCTGCAGCAGAGAATTGCTTTTAAATTCCCGTACAAGGTCTCGGTCTTCGACAAGTTCTGTTTTGCGCTCAGCACATGATCTTCTTAAATTGCGCTTGTCATTATGCTGTTTAAACTTTTTAACTTGCCAGTGCACAGTCTGATGTGACACATTAAACACCGATTTATTGAGGATGTTCTAAGGAATCAATTTTTCTTTTATTATATATATGTACATATATAATATTCCCGTTACTTAGTTGTAGAGCAGGATGTAATTTACACGCAATGGTTTAGATGCCTGCAACCCGCCTAAGCCCACTCAGTACAACAAGCAGTATCGAATCAGTTGTGCACCAGCTCTAATCAAAACATTCATTTGTACCGAAACAAATAGGCACAAAGAGGACGTGAAAAATCTGTGAAAATTTTTATAAATCGCCTGTGTGGGCGCAAAATTGGTGCTGCGATCGGAAATTATTATTCTATTTCAGTTTCGCGACACAAAGAAGCTGCTGATGATTGGGTTTCCCGAAGAGAATCGCAACATCAACATAAAAGGATGTGAAGATCGCGGTGCGTGCTGTGAGTAAGATCTACAACTTTGAGTTACGGAATAAAAATATGGCCTGCAACATCCCGGACGAACTTTACTACTTGGCCCAGAGGCACGACCTCGCCTACTGTGATGTCGGCTTGCACAACTAAGACTGAGCTAAGATCCCAACTGGAAGTGATACCGCAGGAGAAGAATTTCTCCTAATTAACATTATTATCACATTATGTCAAGATTACGTGGATTCCTACTAACATTTGGCTGACATTACATTAAACTAACATTAAACAAACAATGTCCTTGTTTGTTGCATATTGGGTGTTGCATATTGCAAATGCCTTAATGCGATTTGCAAACTCAGGCGATGCTTATCAAGAATATATATACTTCATGGAGCTGAGGTGTCTGAAATTATAATAACCCCTGGAAGGGTGTAAAGAGATATAAGAACCAACAAGATCTTGTCTGATGTGAGTCTGGTCGCGAGATAAACCCCTTTCCTGTGCCCACCTTTCCTATGCGTCATGCTTGGAATAAAAGGCAACATTAAAATCGAAAAGCCGGCTACACAGATCCGCTAGCCGCAAATCGAGACTTGGAGAAATACCAACCGGAAGCCGAATGACCACGTGCTAAAACCCGAAATCTGATGTAGCCACTGTTGTATCCGTGACATACTTATGATTGCATACATACTTTATATCGATCAGATAATGATTTATTATCCGCTGATGGGATTGGTCAATTTCTAGAGCCGAATCGAATCGTAGCGGGTGTAGCAAATGGAGCTCTAATTGGAACGGAACTATTGAAAGAAAAAATTCAATTTGAGTCTAAAGCTCCAACTTTGGAATTTCAATGTCGCAGCCAAGCTCAATTAATTGGCCACACAGCAATTCGAATTGAGCTCTCATGAAGCAAAGGTAATTAAATTGTATTCGGATCTCGACTAACATTGCCCGCAGGCCAAGTGTATCCTTAGAGCCGGATATGGTGAAGAAGTGAACTGTTTAACTGGCAAAGGTTGTTTTTATTTTAGGGGTCGTTCGTAAAACTATAACAAAAATGGGTTGTGGGTCGGTTCCTAATGGTGGTAGGCGACTGCAGGGGCGGCGTAGGAGGTGTACGCAGCGGGGGCGGCGTAGTGGGCCACGGGGGCAACGGTCTTGACCACGGCAGGAGCGGCGTAGTGGGCGACAGCGGGGGCGGCGTAGTGGGCGACAGCGGGGGGCAGCATAGTGAGCCACTGGAGCCACGGTCTTCACGACAGCGGGAGCGGCATAGTGAGCCACTGGGGCAACGGCCTTGACAACGGGGGCAACGGCGACGGCCTTGACGAGGGGCTCACGGTTGACCACGGCGTTGAATCCGTTGATGGGGTCGGCGGTGTACTGGACGGTCCTCTTGTACCCGTCGGCATCGATCAGGGAGTACTCTCCGCGGACCACATCCCCGTCGCGCTCCTCCACCTGTCCCTTGTTGTCGCCGGTCAGCTTGTCGTCGACTCCGTAGGAGAAGCGGTACTGGGGGTGGGGGTCGTACTCCTCGGCGGCCTTGACCACCACCTTCTGGGCCACGGCGACGGGGGGCGTGGGCGTAGGTGGCCACGGCGGGGGCGGCGTGGTAGACCTGGGGAGCGGCGATGGGGGCGTAACCGGCGCTGGCCACGGCGACGAAGGCGAGGGCGAACACGAACTGGAGGGGGGATTCCTTGGGTTTACTTCTCGTAGGATCTAGAGGCAGGGACTCACCTTGAATGCCATTTTGAAGGAGTTTTTGGGCTGTGGGCTGGTTCTTTGCAGAAACGGGGCTGAGGGCTGAATGATGTGGCTTCTGGCCAGGCCAACTGTTTTATAGCCCGCGCTTGCACTTTCTGCTCGGTGAGGTAAGGTGCTTACGCTTGGCCTTCTGAATATCATGCTCCAAATTAGCGCGAAGTCACCGCTCTGCAAAGCCAACGGCGACGCCGGCAGAGCAGTCGGCAGAGGGCCAAGAGAGGAGAAACAGTTGGCCATTGCGGAGTGCAGTCCAATTATTTAGAAAGGATTCGGCGGACTCGAGCGGGATTTCCCTCTGCCAGGTGCCCACGTTCAAGTCGGTCGTTGTGAAATGATTGCATCTGCTAATAGCAGCGCCGATTAATCCCACATACATATATAATATATCTCATCCAAAGGATGGGACTGAGTCTTAACGCTGGGTGGCCTTGATTCCAGCAGATTGCGCAAATGGCGCAAAGTGTCTGCTATAATTGGGGTCGGGGAGTGATTCTCGAGGATTGATATGTGAAAGATGAGAAAATATGTAAAGCAAATCGATAAACCGTAATTGAGGTGGCCTTGCTCAGGATTGACATGTTGCGTAACCTATTCTTAAAGTGGGTTACATTGATCAAAACCGCTGATAGTAAAAGCGAAATGCATACTACTCCTACTACAGATTATGTATAAAGTTGTGTCTTTAAATATTGTTAGGTACTAATTTATTTTTCCCTAAATAAGCTTAACAAAAAATTGGTACATATGTATATGATATAAAAATTTAAAAACACTTTCGCTTTTGTTTGACACTCCTTTAAGTAAAACATCTATAAACAAATCATTAAATGAAAACTTGTTAAAGTAAAAGTATCATTCCTTGTGAAATTTTATATTAGGGAAAAAGTGCATAAGTTTTGCCAGTATTCCATTGGAATTCAATAGTGATAACAGCCTTACAACAAATAACGCCAAGCTAAAGTTCATTCAACCTTCTTGACGATCAACGAGCAGTTTTTTAAAGTTACATAACTGAAACCAGATTACACAATCGTTTGAACACTTATCATTTCATCTGCGGAGTATTACGAATTTCTTAAGAAAATTATGGCGGACTTGAGAAAACAGAACTAGAGACAGAGAAAAAGTAAGCAATCTGAATAAAATATTCGCCTTGCTCTCTGAATGAATAAAATTTAAGGTTCATATAATCCAATTTATGCCGAGTAATCTAGTGAAATAATTAGCCACGCATTAAGCCGGGCCAATCCCTTTTGTTTTTAGGCGGACCTTTCGCCGGAGATCTTTCACTCTTTCGGCGCTGACGGCTTCAGAATCTGTGGCCAAGAGCGATTGCACACCCACAGAGCTTAGCGCCACGAACAGGAAGTACGAGTTATTGCCCCCCGACAACAATCGCAGTCGAGAAACATTCAAAATACTCGCTGTCACCGCGAAAATACCGCTCGCTGCCAGCGGATTGGCCTAAAGCAGAGCAGAGCGAGCTGGCAGCTTGATTTACTATAAAAGTTGTCGATCGGGCCCAGAAAAGTATCATTCGCAGTCCCAGTTCACTTCTGTAAAGAACTACCAATCAGCACCCAATCAAAATGGCCTTCAAGGTGAGTCACCTGGACGGGAATCCGGGATAGCTAGCTTCTACCAGGGAGTTCTCGCTGGATATCTAACCTCTCCGCCTTCCAGTTCGTGTTCGCCCTCGCCTTCGTCGCCGTGGCCAGCGCCGGTTACGCCCCCATCGCCGCCCCCCAGGTCTACCACGCCGCCCCCGCCGTGGCCACCTACGCCCACGCCCCCGTCGCCGTGGCCCAGAAGGTGGTGGTCAAGGCCGCCGAGGAGTACGACCCCCACCCCCAGTACCGCTTCTCCTACGGAGTCGACGACAAGCTGACCGGCGACAACAAGGGACAGGTGGAGGAGCGCGACGGGGATGTGGTCCGCGGAGAGTACTCCCTGATCGATGCCGACGGGTACAAGAGGACCGTCCAGTACACCGCCGACCCCATCAACGGATTCAACGCCGTGGTCAACCGTGAGCCCCTCGTCAAGGCCGTCGCCGTTGCCCCCGTTGTCAAGGCCGTTGCCCCAGTGGCTCACTATGCCGCTCCCGCTGTCGTGAAGACCGTGGCTCCAGTGGCTCACTATGCTGCCCCCGCTGCCTACACCTCCTACGCCGCCCCCTCCGTCGCCCACTACGCCGCCCCCTCCGTCGCCCACTACGCCGCCCCTGCTGTTGTGAAGACCGTTGCCCCCGTGGCCCACTACGCTGCTCCCGCCGTGGTCAAGACCGTGGCCCCAGTGGCCCCAGTGGCTCAGTACGCCGCCTACGCTGCCCCCGCCCACTACGCCGCCCCGGCCGCCACCTACACCTCGTACTCCGCTCCCGCCGTGGCCTACCACCACTAGATCCTGGCTGAAAACGGACGTTGTACATAGACTTGTTGGCTTTATTATTACTGTACATTTATTTATTGACAGCACCAATAAACAAATGCATACGAGTACGTAGACATACATCACGAAAGGCCAGAGTGTTTTGAGGGGCTCATGGGGAAGGACTCTCAGAGGTCGTTCACATCTTCAGCATTATTTATGTGCTTGTTTGCGCAACGAGTTCTTGCCCTCAATGTGCGAAAAGGTTCACAGACATCATAGGAGCGATCCTCTCCAAAGGACTGCAGCGGACTTAGAGCGATGCAATCCGCGCGGTGCTTTTGGTGGTGCAGTCTGGACCTTTGTTCGGCGATCCTTAAGGAAGCGGCAGGGGCAACGAACTGCGTTGGCCTGCTGATGATTCGGATCCTGATCCCAATAGCAATGCCAATCCCAATCCCAATCCCTCTGTCTGTCTGAGGGGACAGACAGATTTGCGGGCTTTGTGCCGGTCATTTCCATTTGAATGGAAGGACTCGTCTACCGCACCGCAGAAAGAATCCCTTTGTTGCTTACTTTTGTAATATAAAACGGAAATTATGGGGTCATGACTTTACTTGCCGGGTGATAAATGGTCTTACAGCAGAGGGAGCAGAGAACTGAGCCTCAGTTGTTCCTAGTTCGAGGCTGCATTTTCCCACAGCTCGAGCAGGAACTTCTTAGGGGGCTAGACAGCGCACACCTGTTGTTCTTCCAACAGAACAGTTCTAGATTTAAAACTCTGCGTTCTGGAGGGGCCCCCAAGGTCAGAATTGGAGTGTAATCTCAGCTAGCCAACTGCTTCCATCGGCATCGACATCACCCTTCCTCGAACTTGAGGACCGACTAATCAAGTGGAAGATTTCTGATTTCGGGTGCTCCTCACCGTCGATATTCAGGCGAAACCCTTCTCAACTTCACCATCGTCATTATCATTATCATCCAGAGCGCAGCCAACAACAATGCAAACTGACAATGCAACCGGACAAAAACAGAAAGCACAAGACCAAGGAAAACAAAGAAAAAACTGGGAAGCAAACCCGTTGAAGTAAGCTAAAGGATCGTCGAACCTCAACGGGGGTAAACAGGCTTTCGGTCCCCGGCTTTCGTATAAATAGATGCCAGCCACTCCTTGTGGGCTCATTCAGTGTTTTGTGTTGAGTCCGAGAGGTTCAGGATCAGGAGCAGCTTGCGATCGCGCCTTGGGGTCAGTCAGCCCAGTGAAACCATCAAACCCGCCTTTGGATAACGTTTTTCAGGACTCAGCCTGCTTTAAGACCACCAAATGGCAGATATATAGAGGTAATTATGTGTGATATGTGATACTCTCATGGGAACTGCGGCTAAATTATGTTGCACTAAAAACATAAATCAACAAAAATAAACATAAATCATCAATAAAAAGTAACAATGTGAAGAAACAGTATATAAAAACTCTAAAACTACAATTGCAGTTAATTTGAATATCTCATTTTGTTTAATTGTAAAAATTTAATTCAATTATGGTAATGAAATATATATTTGTTATTTGTATTTGAAATTACAAGAATTTTGTTGATTGTTTGTGGATTAGTATTTTCTGAATGTGTACGAATCTGAATGTAAAATTTTATATTTTAGTTTATTGCTAAACCTTTGACTAATTACCTCTTTAATTTGCAGATATTCCATTTCTTTATCGGCCCGGCAGCTGCTCACTAAAAGTAATCAAACAAAAAAAACATGGCTCTGTTTCCACACTTGAAATCTTCACCTTGTTGTTTTTGATGACAACCTGGATCCGTTTGAGAACCGAAATCTAGGGCCAATCAGGGCTTGCAGCTGGCCAGAACACCTATTGGCACTCATCACGGAACATTGAATCGTTGGAGGGCCGCAAAACACCGCACATCAGCCATCCACCACCCATCCATCCATCACCCACCAAACGTCGTCTCGGCCCTTTGGACAAAATTTACATTTGAGTTTAAGTTTAGGTGTAAACAATAAACAAAAAACAACAATAGGCTACCAAAAAAAGCGAAAAAATCCAACCAAGTGTTTGTTGTTCTTCGGATTATTCGACTAGGTATTTGCATACGTGGCCCAGATAAGATCTTGTTTTTAGGACCATGAAAGGGAGCTTATCTAGAAGCTTAGCTTCAGAGAGGATTATAAATATGTTGCTACACTTAAGGCTGAGTTTTTAAAACTTTTCTTTAAAATGTAACTTATTTTGAGGTCCAATATCTTTCTTGTATTTTATTTTAAATAGCAATCCTCGACCTCAGTTAAGACTTCATTCTGCAACCCCGTGACTTTTACTTTGCAGTGTGATCTTAAAAATAGTTCAGCAAATGTACCCGAATACTTTGTTATTATCTTACAAGAAAGGCCGCGGTGCGAACAATAATTTATGTGTATCAAGGTCAGCAAAGCCTATAAACTATAACTGCGGCACCATATGAGAGCCGATTGCCACCAGATATCCAGCAAACAGTCAGCAGATTTCAAAGGTGTACGCACAGGTGCTGTTGCCACTGCCAAAATGAGACATGAAGAAAATGGTATGGTAAGTGAACTGGTTTCTGTGCAAGTTTAATTGGCATTATTCGAGTCGCCGGCTGGACAGCGTTTACTTCGCTTTGTAATTCCCATAAACTATTTTCGAGCTAACCCTTGGTGGATTGCGCTCGCCGATGATTAAGCCAAACAAATGCCTGTGCTCAAGTGTCCGCGTGTTTCCCTCGGAAATTAAGCAAACTAAATTGTAATTAACAGCCGCTTTTTCAACAGTTGTCCAATTGAGACAATGTCTTCGCGTTAGCCGCCCGTTGACGGCCAGCAGGCTACTGAAGCGATTACTTTTATTATTTTCAATTCGAATTCGTTCCGTTGGAATTTTTTAATTCGGCGCAGCATTGACCTCACAGTTGAATTCGTGTTTGGTCAGGGGTGTCCGCTCGCCGGAGTGGCTGGCTAATTAAATTAAGCCAACCTGATGGATACCACCTCTTCGCCCGGCCGGTCCAGCATATCCTTCGGGGACTCTGCTGCGGGCGGACATTTTCCGACATTATTTGGGTTTTAGCAGGCACTCGACTTCGACACCCGGACACCAAGACACCCAAAATCCAAACAACTCAACCAATTTCCAGCCAACACTCGGCCCGGTGATCAATCTTAAATTTTCACCGCTTCTGTCAGAAATGTGCGTAGTCGACGACATGGGACGACAGTGGCATCATGTGGCTTAGTCGTCCTGGTCCAGCACCTCTCTCCCGAATACCTTAAAACGTTGACAGCCAAACCCAAAATGCTGGTTGACGAATGAGGCTGAAGCGGGTGAGTTTCCCTGGGGAGCGCTGCGAAAACGCCGTATGCCTGCACCCGAAAAACTCTGCAAACGTAGCATGAATGGCGGCACTTTCCTTGATAACATAACACACATAAATTTCAAATTCTTATTAAAAGCAGCTGAAGGTAGCCCATAATATCTATAAAATATTGCAATTGTATCTTTATATTTGTATTGAGTGACCAAATCTTATTTAATTAAGCAACTTTATTATTAGTTATAGAGTTCAGTTTTAACTGAAAGATTTACAAACGGTAGTCTGAAAGTTTAAATTTCTGTTCATTTTTAACGAGTTTTGTGGTGGTTATGCCTCACAATTCATAATTCCAAGAAATTAACGGTGTAGATATACGGATTAACTAAGTAAACAAAGTTCTTATTTAAAAGTTGAAAGAAATACCCGCTTTCTTTTAGTTTGCTATGACGATAAAGTATATATATGCAAGTATGCATTTACGTAATTCTTGTGCTTGATATCTTTAGATGTCACACACATGTATACAAGTACACTTAGAATATTTTGGGATCCGACGTCTATACCCATCCTTCTTTTAAAGTTTTTAATTTAAATTTTGGATAAAAATATGATCACGATTTGCTAACAAATTTGTTAAAAAGTTTTGTTCGTAGACGTTTGTGACTTGGCATATAGACAACTAGCTTCCGGATGGTGTGGTCGATTTTCAGATTGTTTCTAACGGATCTAAGTAGCCGGCTTTTCCCTCCAATTGTAGCACCTATATTCACTCGTGCTCCTACGATGACGATGGCGAATAGAAGTGAACAGGAACTGGTTTGACCGCGGCCAGACGCACGTCAGACGAGATTCGAATCGTTCTTTTTATTGTCGGACTCATTGTTTGATTGCCGGGTAATGATCTCGTACCTCTGCACAACAATGGCAAGTAACAAATTTGCTAATTAAAACGTCGGATTGAAAGTGAAATGGAAGTAAATATAAATGGTTAATTGCGAAACCGAAAACGGGTGAAGCACTAATTTGGCCTTAGCCGGTCATTGATTCTTGAATCTATTGGATTCGAAAGAGCAATTAAAATGTAATTAAAACAGTTTTGAGTTTTACAACAGACAACTTAGAAAACTTTGTTATTAAGCTCTTATTAACAACATTAGCATAAACTAATAATTTTTAGAAAGCTAAAGGCTTGGACAAACATTATCTTGCTTATGCATTGTTAATTGTCGATCAGCATTTTATTCACCTTGAGCGATTGTTCCTAAAAAATGACCAGTATATGCTTTATATTGTTTCCAATAAATGTATTAGATTATGGAAATCAATACCACTTTTATAATTGCCCTCTAGAAATATTTGCTTTTATCATATTACCGCTTTCATTGCTCTCACGACGGCCTTCAAACGAAATTCTTTGGCTCCCCGCCCCCGCACAACATTTTATTACATCACTTGGCCGCCGGTTGAGTCACTTTCCTGCCCAATTCGACTGCGACCATGATTGAGCACTTACCAGTGCCACAATTATGGCTGTAAAGCTGAGAGCAGAAAGCTTCGACCAGAAAGCTCGAGTCCGCTGTCCATTTGCTCCGTGCGAGGTGATCAGGCATCTTTTTTGGGTCACTTGCCACGGGGAGGATGGAGGAGGTGTGTCTCTCACTAGGGTTTTTCTCTATTTTTTCTGCATGTGTGTGCGCTTGTGTCAAGTGCAATGCTGTTCATCGATCAAGCGGCGATTTATTGGGTTACTTACATGACTCGAGTGAGCCCCAAAACCACGACCCCCAATTCCCCGCTCCACGAACCGCTGATCCGCGGCGAGTTGCTCGCTTAAGTCTTTTGTTTGTAACGACTTTGGCCGCTTTGTCTGATTTTTTTCGCCGTCCGTCTCCCATTCATAACAATAGCGAAATGGGTGTGACTCGTGGGTGCAAATCTTTTTGGGTAAATCTACCGATCGACGGAGGGGAGGCATGCAAATGAATTACGATCGAAGTGGTTTCTGTAAGCCTCCTAGTGAAAAAGTGAAAGAAAGGCCGGCGGAGAGACAATGGGCCAACGAAATTTTCGTCTATAAATACAAATGCAGCCGCGGATCGATTATTATTCAAGCCACGCACTCCACACAAGGAGGACAAAGTCTCGCATCCACCGCTCTGCAACCACTGACCTCAAACACTCGCCAAATGGCTTTCAAGGTAAGCCAATGCTGATGTAATTCAACAGCGGATAATGTTATAACTTTGTTCGCACTCTCCAGCTCCTTGCATTGGTTTCCTGCTGCCTGGCGGCCGCCTCCGCTGGACTCATCCCCGTGGAGCAGCACGAGCAGCAGCCCCAGCTGTACCAGGCCCACCAGCCGCAGCACGTGATCTACCAGAAGCAGCACGAGATCCATCCCCACGGCCACGAGGTCTACCCCGATGATCCGCATCCCAAGTACAACTTCGCCTACGACGTGCAGGACGCCCTCTCCGGCGACTCTAAGAGCCAGGTGGAGTCCAGGGACGGCGATGTGGTCCAAGGCGAGTACTCCCTCGACGACGCCGATGGCTTCCGCCGCACAGTGAAGTACACCGCCGACTCCGTTAACGGATTCAACGCTGTGGTTCACCGCGAGCCGCTGGCCCATGTGCACCACAAGGTGGTGGCAGCTGCTCCCGCCCAGTACCACCACGCCCCCGCCCCCGTGATCAAGAGCTATGCCGCCCCCGCCCCCGCCTACGTGGCCCCCACCTATGCCGCCCCCGCCCACGCCTACACCGCCCCCGCCTACCCCACCCACCAGGCGGAGCAGCCGCAGGAGCAGGAGCACCAGCAGCACCACTACGCCAGCTACGAGTCCCCCGCCCACTCGCAGGCCGCCCACGAGGGTCATGAGTACTACCACCACCAGTAAGGGCCTCTCGACCGGATCACAGATCACCTGAACAGCGGAAGTATTAACCCATCACGAGAACTCATTTAGCTATTAGCCTAGCCGTGTTTTTTAGTTTTACTCTCTGTGTACATATTTTCAATAAACATTTCTCAATTCTATGTAACCAAGAGTCTTTAACTGACTTTGGAGGATATAAAATAAGGATTTCATGGGTTAGATAGCAATTATCACACAAAAAATTAAATAAACTTAAATGTTATCAGTTAATAAAGATAATTACATGCTGAAAAGGTGCACTTATGAAATCATAACATTCGAACAGTTTGCAACCCATGTAAATTGTACTCCAGACTTAAATATCATTTGAAAATTCAAGTACATCCAATTTCTTTACCGCCCAAGTACAATGTTACCAAAAAAACCTTCGCAGTTAAGCTGTGGAATGTCAAGGCCAAGGCAATGCCAAAATATCAAAAGACACAAATACTTGTTATAATGATTCGCATTATTCCATTTCCAAAGCCCCTAAGCCAACCTGATTAGGAGTGTATTCATATCGCATCGTGTTTTCTTGAGATTACATTCCCCCATATCCATCTTAAGCGGGCTTATAGATCGCATTTTTTGGCAAACTCCACTGAGGTTTAAAAGTGCGTACAAAGAGAACAATTGGCATTAATTTTATGAAGTGTGAGATTTACATTTAAAGCACTTGGCTAGTATTTCCCGATTGGTCATGATTAGCGTGAGCGATTCCGCTCGAGTATTTGGCACTGCTCGATTTTCGCACTTCATTGGAGAGGGGTAAATGGAGACCGGTTTTTGGTTTTCGGTTTTCGGGCTTGCCAAAATATCCGGTAGCAACAGTCGCACTTTTTGCAATTTTAATGTCGCACTCAAATTGAATCTCAAATTACTTGGGACATAACTGCTGCTGCTGGCTGCTATCAAGTCCGGCAAATATGTTCGGGCTCTGACGCAGACCCGGGCCCCAAATATGTGTGTCCAATTGCCGGTAAGAAATAATTTGCTCCACATTCCCACACAAAGGTCTAACGCAACCACACATCAGCCAGACCTCTTGGCCTTTCGCTCCTCTTTGTTGCCCAGCTGGGTTGTTGGTCGGTTGTCGGTTGTTGGGCTGGGGCTTGGCTTTGGCAACCGTGGAGAGCTGGCACCGGGGGATAACAATCGACTGCCTTGGCACCAGCCAATGCCCACCACATATCACATTAAAATTACCTATCGAAAATAACTATCATATTTTGACGTCTTTGGGAAAAGGCCAAGAATTGTTGTGTGAGTTTCAAAATGTTAATGAGAAAACCAAACTTTTTAAAACAGTCCTTAAACCACGAGATGTTGCTGAAAAAATTCCTACCGAAAAGAAATAACCCTTTTGTGCCACTTTTTCTTTTAAAAAAGAAATGTATGATATTAACAATTTATAAACATAACAATAGAAATAAGTGAGCAACCTGTTTCCGTTAAGCATACTATAACTTTATGTATATAAACTTACAAATTTTAATAAAGGTAAAATAACATAATAATAATTATAATAATAATTTATTTATTTATTTTACACTGTATGCCTATCTTAGATCTTAGGCTGCAGGAAGGGGTAGCCATTGCTGCTCATAATAATTAATAATATCTATCCTTTAGAAATTGGTTTAGTAAAAAAATGGTACCGGCAATCGCTAAGTTATGGCTCAAAACGAAATAGAAAGTTAACTGATTCAGTTATTTAACAACTGATATAGTACATTGTTTTCAGTAAATTTTTTTTTTTTACAAGAACATTATAAAAATATAAATTAATAAATAAATAACATTATTACCTAGCAATTATTTTGAAATGCATGTTTAAGGAGCATTAAAAGAATTAGATGAAGGGATTGAAAGTATCTAAAATAAAAAAAATGTAAAGCCTACTTACAAATCTAATAGACAAGACAAAGCTGTAGCTATAATACCCGTTTCATTATGACTTTTACCTGACAGGATTAAGTAAATTTGATAGGTACATTTAATTGTACTTAAGCGACAATCGAATTCTAGGTAAATATCTTTTTCCAAAATTAGTTGGTAATACCCCATATAGTTGTGAAGATAAATAAAACCCAAAGTAGTAATTAAATGAATAATATGTGTGCGTTTCTATGTAAAATCTTTTGCAAAATTAGTTGTTATGATCCTATCAAGTTTCGCGGATAAATAAAACCCAAAGCATTAATTAAATGAATAACATGTGTGTATTTGTAGAGGGCGTTCGTAAACCTATAACAATAATGGGGAGTGGATTCAGTTCTTAGTGGTGGTAGGCAACAGCGGGGGCGGCGTAGGAGGTGTAGGTGGCAGGGGCGGCGTAGTGGGCCACGGGAGCCACGGTCTTGACCACAGCGGGGGCGGCATAGTGGGCTACTGGGGCAACGGTCTTAACCACGGCAGGAGCGGCATAGTGGGCGACAGCGGGGGCAGCATAGTGAGCCACTGGAGCCACGGTCTTCACGACAGCAGGGGCGGCATAGTGAGCCACTGGGGCAACGGCCTTGACAACGGGGGCAACGGCGACGGCCTTGACGAGGGGCTCACGGTTGACCACGGCGTTGAATCCGTTGATGGGGTCGGCGGTGTACTGGACGGTCCTCTTGTAGCCATCGGAGTCGATCAGGGAGTACTCTCCGCGGACCACATCGCCATCGCGCTCCTCCACCTGGCTCTTGGAGTCCCCGGAGAGGGAGTCCTGCACGTCGTAGGCGTACTTGTACTGGGGGTGGGGGTCGTACTCCTCGGCGGCCTTGGCCAGGACGGGCTGGGCGTGGGCCACGGCGACGGGGGGCGTGGGCGTAGGTGGCCACGGCGGGGGCGGCCTGGTAGACCTGCTGGACGGGAAGGACTCCGGCGCTGGCGGCGGCGATCAGGGCGAAGAGGGCGACGAACTGCAAGGGGATTAATATTAGAATCTGGGGTCTTGAAGAGGGCTAAATCCTGTGAGCCAACCTTGAATGCCATTTTGAGTGGTTTGGTACGGCTTAGCTGCTGCTTCTGTTGGTTGCTGAGAGGCGAAGTGAACTGTGAGGGCTACTGGGCCAGCACTCGGTTTATATACAGAGATGGAGCAATTTCTTGAGCCACGGCGGCTGCCGTCGAATTGCCGAATTGCTGCTTTTGCCGGTTGGCCACGCTCTTGGCGTAATTAGTGCAATTCATTTATGCTAAACGTGTGTGGAGAGGGGAAAAGTGTAGCATTGAAGCCGTGCTCAATCTTTGTATCTTTGTGTTTTGTCATCAAAGTAAATTCAATCTATCCAAGAGGTACGAAAAGCGTGCGCATTGACATTGCCTTTGGCCTAAACCAGTTGGTCCACGGAACAGTTAATGAACTAGTAAATAAGTCGCTTAAAAAGGGATTAAATCAAAGCTGCTGAAAGCCACGTGCCTCGAACAACTTACGTTGCAGGATTATCATAAAAACTCAAGCTTTTATATTAAATTTGTAAATTTATAACTAATTTGTAAACTTTAGCAATACTTAAATAGACCAAGGGGGAAGAAATAATTTTAATCACAAATAGGTATTTCATTTAAACTACTTAATTATTGACGATTGCTAAAACAATTTAATTATTGGATAAATTACATCAGCATATACTTATGTTTGTTTATGATCAACATTTTTTAGGTCAAGACTTTTTTATTTAATAAACTGATTTTGTTTCGAAACTAAATATAATATAAATTTGTATCTTTAGAGCTGAATTTCTGGTAATCTTTATATTACTTAAACTTATATATATTCAATTTATTATACCCTTGCAGAGCAAAAGGGTATTATAATTTCAGTCAGAAGTTTGCAACGCAGTGAAGGAGACACCTCAGACCCCATAAAGTATATATATTCTTGATCAGCATCACGAGCAGAATCGAAATATAGATGTACGTCTGTCCGTCTGTCCTTCTGTCCGTCTGTCCGTTTCCGCGCAAACTAGTCTCTCAGTTTTAAAGCTATCGTGCTGAAACTTTCCCAAAAGTTGTGTAGTTGTTGCACGCAGTATATAAGTCGGAACGGGCCGGATCGGCCGACTATATCGGATAGCTCCAATACAAGAGAATGAAATAAAAAATTCTCACTCTGTTGTTTTTGATCAGATCGACTTGAATTCTTCAAGATGGCGTTTTCTAACTGTTATTGAATTTCGGATTAAATTTTATCAAAATCGGATAACTCTATCGTATAGCTGCCATAGGAGAGATCGAATATTATATAGAGAATTAATGGAAAAAAATTGATAACATCGTTGTTTTTTATCCCACGAGCATGATTTTTTGAATATTAAGTTTTTTAACAACGTTTATATTGAGAAAAAAGTTTCATAAAAATCGGTCAACTATATCTTATAGCTGCCATAGAAAAGATCGAAAAATCTATATAGAAATAACGGAAATAAAATTATAACATCGTTGTTTTTCATCATACAAGTATGATTTTTTGGAATATAGAGTTTTCTTACGACTCTTGAATTACGAATTTAATTTGATCAAAATCGGACAACTATATATAGCTCCCATATGATCTATAGTCGAAAATATGGAAAATGAATAGAAAAATCGTCTAAGCTTCGATGTTGTTTAGCCTTTGTGTATTCTGTTCGAAATATTTGATGATTGCAAGGGTATATACGCTTCGGCTTGCCAAAGCTAGCTTTTTTTCTTGTTTTTAAATGTGTTATAAACATTTATTACAAAATCAAACAATAACTATTTTAAATAATTGTATCTCCGTATAGTAGTTAAAATTTAGAAAATTAACCCTAAAATTGCTGGTTGAGCAGGTTTCTCTGTCTTAATCTTATCGTTACTTATTTCGGTATGTGTTCCTTTTGGAAATCATTATATAATACAGTAGAATCCGCTTATAGCGACTTTCAAGGGACCGACGATTTTTCGTCGTTATACCCGGAAGACGCACTAAGCAGAAGGATTTACGTGTATAAGTCTGTCTGGGGACCAATCAAGCCATCGAGTTTTCGTCGCAATACCCGGACGGACACTATAAGCGGAGTCGTTATAACAGGATTCTACTGTATATGCCAAATTGGAATGCCTTTTCTTGTTTTGTAATAATTCGAACAGCAAAGGTAGTATTACCATAAATTACGTTCGAACTTAAATTTAATAAGATTTCATATCCTTAAAGCTTAACGAAAAAATTAATTTTTTTACCTTCGAAAATATATCTAAACATAACAAAATAAAACAGAAAATATTTTTGGAAAAACGGATATAATTAATTTAGTAATACAGCAAAAACTTCTTGGAAAATGGTAATTAAAATTGGCTTGGCGTAAGCAATTAAGTGCAGCTGGGTATTTCAGGCGAACACTTTCAAATGGGCAGAACTGAAGAAGGTGCGTGACAATTTTTACAAGCCACCTGCGGCGTTCGTGGCGATGCGCCAAAAATGAATTCCAATTAGGTGTCATCAATGTCACCAAGTAGCGTATAAAATCCAATGGCCCACACTGGGTCAGACATTCAGTGTTTGGCTTTAGCCCAAGACAGCAGCAGTTAATCAAAATCATCCAACCAACAATGGCAGCAAAGGTTAGTACAACCACTTGGAGGATAAACGTTCCTAAGGATTACCAGTGCACACAAAAAAGAACCCACCAATTACCATTATTACCAACACCTCTAAGAACATCACATATCCTTATCCTATTTGTTCCCCAGATTGTTATCGCTTTGGCTCTGTTCGCCGTGGCTCATGGAGCCGTTCTGAGGACCGCCGCCCCGGTGGCCGTTGCTCCTGCTCCCGTCCCCGTTCTGGCCAAGACCGTCGAGCTGGAGGAGGTGGACCCGCATCCCCAGTACACCTACAGCTACGACGTGCAGGACACCCTCTCCGGCGACAGCAAGGGACACGTGGAGGAGCGCGATGGCGACTTGGTCCGCGGAGAGTACTCCCTGATCGACGCCGATGGCTTCAAGCGCACCGTGACCTACACCGCTGACCCCGTCAACGGATTCAACGCGGTGGTGCGCCGTGAACCCCTTGCCGCCGTCGTGGCCGCCGAGCCGGTGGTCAAGGTCGCCGCTCCTCTGGTCAAGGCCGTCGCCCCAGTCGCTCCCGTTGCCGCCGTTGCCCCCGCTCCCATTGTCCGATCCGCTCCTCTGGCCGTCGCCGCTCCCCTGATCAAGTCCGCTCCCCTGGCGGTTGCCACGCCCCTTGTCCGCTCCGCCCCTCTGGCGGTGGCTGCTCCCGCCCCCGTTCTGCGCACCGCTGCCTACACCACGCCCCTGCGCTACGCCGCCCCCACCTACACCATCGCCAACTTGTAAATGAGCAGGATGCGACCACGGCTAAATCCAATCTGTTGTTTTGTTTCTATGATAATAAAATGTGATTTGTTATGTTAATTTTAAATGTGTTTTCAATTTGATTAGAATTTACCCATGGTATTGCTTTTATTACTCTTGGGAACTTGAGAATGGTGGTAAATAAAACAAACAAATTAATCAATTGATTTAGTGGCACTGAAAACGTGAAACTTATAAATTATTTCGAACACGAAGTTAAAATTTGTGTTCTTGAACCGCTCAAATTCAATAATTACTGCATCATATTATTTTACTAGTGAGTTGAAGAAAATTAGACAGCTATTAGTCAATCATTAATTTAAAAAAACATTATAATTGAAATGTTTTTCTGTATAATGATATTTTACCATTCAGATGAAGATTTATGTAAATGTGTTTCTTAAATACGCCTATTAAATGGCACATTATAAAATTCTTCCTGTAAAGCGTTTCAGTTCTTAATAGTTTAACTTCTTTTTACCAAGTCCGGTCAGTGCCTAGTGTAGGTCAGTTCCGCACTCTCAGTAATCTCCCCAAGCATTTTGCTCCACCAACCGAAAGATCGTTCCGGTAACACGATATACCATTCAAGGCAGAATAGTGAAAGCTGATTCGCGAATAGCCCGCGGAGGGCCAGAGAGACTCAAAACCCGAGGGTCTCTCCTATGACACTAAGCCGCACCACATTTGCATGTCTCTGTGTGTTGCATAAATGTAGCTTGTACTCACTGCGTGGGCTGTTGTAATTGCCCCTTTCCAGTCGATAAATTAATAAGGTAAATAGCGCAGCCACAATACAATAACAAAAGTGCAAAAATTGAAAAGTGACAAAAATTATTTGCCCAGCAGCGAATTAATCAATTTCAATTCGTTATTCGCGTTTTGCTTTTCGTACTTTTTCAAGAGGTATAAAAAGCAGTGCTCGTGGTCCAGCAAATCATTCCACATCTTCTCTGTCTTCGCAGCAGTTAACGGATAACCAACCAGCCCACTTCCAAGCTCAGAGCCATGGCCTTCAAGGTAAGTCCTTAAAGGATTCTTTAACCCCATTCCAGTACTAAATCCCCTTTCCCCCCTCAGTTCTTCGCTGTTCTCGCCTTCGTGTCGGCTGTCAGTGCCGGAGTCCTTCCCGTCCAGCAGGTGTACCACGCCACCCCCGCCGTGGCCACCTACGCCCACGCCCCCGTCGCCGTGGCCCACGCCCAGCCCGTCCTGGCCAAGGCCGCCGAGGAGTTCGACCCCCACCCCCAGTACAAGTTCGCCTACGACGTGCAGGACTCCCTCTCCGGGGACTCCAAGAGCCAGGTGGAGGAGCGCGACGGGGATGTGGTCCATGGCGAGTACTCCCTGATCGACGCCGATGGCTTCAAGAGGGTGGTGCAGTACACCTCCGACCCGGTGAACGGATTCAACGCCGTCGTCAACCGCGTGCCCCTGGAACACGTGAAGACCGTGGTGAAGACCGTGGCTCCCGTGGCTCTGCCCGTTGCTGCTGCCCCACTGCCAGTGGCCTACCACCAGCACCACTAAGTGGGAAGTCTCCCCGATTTGTGGAATCCGTTGTAGATCAATAAATTGTTGAATATTTCTAAGCTCATAGAAAAGATGATGTTTTTTTAAAGACTTTGGGGACTAAAGCAACAAAATATCTGATCTAGTTTAATTCATACATTTTTAAGCTTTAGACTATTTGTGGTCATCAAGAAGAAGTCTGCAGAGTGTTAATATAAGGTACAGGCGTTTCAATTATTTTAGAAAGTGTGTTGATCTCATTTCATTGAATATCCTGAGAATGGCACAGTAATACTATTTATTCTTATTTTCGAATTACGAAGCAAAAAACTCCAGATAAACAGCATAAATACTAAAACAGAAGGGAGTTACGCGGCTGCCACCCAATAAACATCAGTCAAAGTGATTATTTCGAATTACCTTGGGTCTTCCCAAAACTCTTTTAACCATATGCATTTTGTAATCAACTTTGTGGCGGTAATAAGTCATTAAGAGCCCAAATTGATCAGGCGTTCGCGTCCGACCCATTTTACACCAATCAACGAAAATTGGGGTAGACATCCGATCGGAACATTTCAATAAGAGCATCTGCGGCGAGGGCTTATTGAATTTAATGCGTGTAATGCAGTCCGCTCTTGAAAACCAGTTAAGGTCACTTGCAGGTGAGTTGCAGCTTTGGCGTGCCCAGAAACCTTTCGCCGATGCTCTGCGTTTTGTTTTTTTCTTCGGACCCGATTGAGAATGATTTACGCGACATTATTGGGCCCGAATCGATTGCCTTATCTGGCCGACCGCCTTTCCAACGCGGACAAGTGCAAATATGCCAAGGTACTTCGAGGAGGACAGCGGACAACGGACAACGGACGACGAGGGTTAAGGTCAAAGTCAGCCGGCATTGTTAATTACCGTTGGAGCGAACGGACTCCGCTACCCATTTGCATTTCCATTCCCATGCTTAGCATGTAAGTACAGCGGCCCAAAGATCAGATTTTAATGCCAGTGCGCATGCGCAACTCGCGGCGAGGCCCATAAACTTAACCAGGCGAATTACAACCATGCTCGTGTCGCATTGAAAACTTGACCACCTCACTTAAGCCCAGTTTACACGGGCTCTGCCGGAGTGAGTAGACGGCTTTTGGGGCTTCCCTCTTTCAATTTGTATTCGCTGGAACTGTCTTATGGACCTTACATTGGCCCGGCCAAAACGCTTCTGGCATTGCCTTTGCTGTCTTGTCGCGCATTTTGTGCGTTCTTGGACGTGTTGGACTGCTGTTTTGCTGTTTTGCTGTTTCGCTGTCCAATTATGCGACATTACTTCATTGTTGCCGTCCAGCGACAGTGAGTGCTATTTTGTCGGTAGCTGTCGCTCTTTATGCATTCTTTCTTCTGAGGCGGCCTTGAAAACGGTCGTGGGAGAGTGAAAGTAAACAAGACTTTCTGTTTTAACAAAGCCCCTTGGAATTTAAAGAGGAATTTAAGTTCAATCTGAATCAAAAATGCTTCCTGATATAACAGAGTGAGTTTTAATTTTAAATTGTAGTGAAAGAGTTTGCGGTCATTTGAATATAAAATTGTAATGCGCTCCGTTTTCTACTAATGAAAGCCAACTAATAACAATCAAGATTACAGTTCGTCAATGTGTTAACATATATTCATAGCAAAATAAATTGTAAAATTTTAAACTTGTTTCTGTGAAACCTCTTTTTGTAAAGATCAAAGCTTATTTATAGAATTAATTTAAAGTTTTCAGCCCTGTTCCGAACTTGCACCCAATATAATTTTTGTAATCTACTTGTCAATGGTTAATGGTTGAATAAACTTACGGGAAGAAAATCTAAAATTAGTTGCTCTAAATAAGATACTAGAAAAGTATTTATCAACAATTTAAAATCAGTATAAATCAAAAGTCACCAGTTGCACAGAATTTCAACTTATGATTGTACATCTTTAAACAAGATTTGTATAGATTTTAAGCCAAACACTAATTATGAAATTATTTTATTGGTAACATAAGCCATCGTCTGCTTATGACATGAGATGTGAAATAAAAGGCAAAAGGCACAGTGAATTCATGCTTTGAATTTAGTTAAGTATTTGCAGGGCAGAATATATTTCATCAAATCAATTTTTGAATGCCATTTCTGTGATAAAGGCGCAGTGCAGCCCCCAAAATAATGAACAACTTTGGATTTCCATTCAATTAGATCACATCCTTTTATTCAATAACAACTAACGGCAATTATCGGGTCGTGGTCACCTATTATTCAGTTACCTAATAGGCGTACGAGATAAGAGGCGAAGCGAACTGGGTCTTGACGACGGCGGGTCCGGCGGCGACCAGGGGGGCGGCCTTGACGATGGGCGCAGGGGCGGCGTAGGCGAGGGGAGCGGGGGCGGCGGCGGCGTAGGCGAGGGGAGCTGGGGCGGCGGCGTAGGCGGCGGTCAGGGGAGCAGCGGCACGGACGACGGGGGCGGCGACGGCGGCACGGACGACCGGAGCGGGGGCGGCCACAACGGCGGCGGGAGCGGCGGCAACGGCGGCCACCAGCGGCTCACGGCGCACCACCGCGTTGAATCCGTTGATGGGGTCGGCGGTGTAGTCCACGATGCGGCGGTATCCGTCGGCGTCGTTCAGCGAGTACTGTCCCTGGACGATGTCGCCGTCGCGGTGCTCCACCGCCGTCTTCGAGTCCCCGGAGATGGCGTCCTTGACGTCGTAGCCGTAGGAGTACTGCGGGTGGGGGTCGTACTCCTCCACCTGGGCCACGGCGGCCAATGGAGCTGCGGCGGGAATGAGGCCGGCGCTGGCCACGGCGATGCAGGCGGCGAAGAGGATGGTGAACTGCAAGTTGAGAACCGAATTTCAATTACACTTCCATAGAAAAGCATGTAGGTTTCAGTGGTAATAAATCCATTGAACTAATAGGAAAGTCTTGTTGATTTGATCACTTGTCACTTTCTTTCGCACTTGAGAACTTAGTCCTTACTTTGAATGCCATTTTGGGTTGCTTGGGTTGGGTGGTTGCTCTAGATACCGAAATTGGTGGTGAACTGATTTGAACGACGTCCAACTGGGGCTTTTATACCGCCTCGATGGCACTCTGCCCAAGCTCGATGTCAGCGGCGTGCACTTGCGTCACAAAACCACGCCGACCATATCAAAATGCGAGACGCTCAAGACTAGAAGCGCTTGTTGCTGGAGCGGCTGGTGGGGTTAAGGGGGTGGCGGTGGAGGGGGAGGGATTGTGGACTTGAGGTAGGACGGCGGTGGGCGGCACGCTGCCAAGGCTGAGCGGTGACAAAGCCGAGGCGAGCATAATGCCTTCTTGATTGAATCGCACTTGAGTCGAGCGGGCTGCCGAATTAATATTGGCCTCAGAAGTCGCATACCCGAACGTGCACTATGATGGGTATCCAAACTCCACCCCCGAGCCCCTCGGACCAGAAACCCCCAAAATCGATAACGACGGTAATGATGATCGCCGGCGCTTTCGAAAAATACTCGCTCACTAATGGCGGCCATATCGTATGCAGCGCATGCGCAAATGCATAACAACGGTTTTTCAAATCGACTCTGCACTTGCAGCTCACCCATACCGATTTCTGATTTTATTTCCCTGCCCGGCAATATAATGTCGGACCGCGGACAACCCCACCCCCGCCCGACGACCTTAAACGGTTATTTAGGCGGCTGTCGCTCCAGCTGAACGCTAATTGGATTTCGAGCTCAGCTTTGAAGCGACACTCCACTTCCGAATGGCCACCCAACAAAGAGAAGTCATTGCGAAGGTTTTCGAGCGGTTCTGGCTGAAAATTCCATTGCGGATGGAGCACTAGTTCATTTCATGTTTTTCTGGGATTATTTTGTTACTTTTGTATGGTGTTTAATAACAATACAAAATAGAATAAACATGATGCTTGTTTTGAAGAGCTGTAACGCCAACATAATTGGGAGAGGTTCAAGCGGTTTGGTTACCCTCGAAACCTGTTGCTCTTCTTATTAAAAAAAGTATTTAATATTACATTTTATTGTAGCAGAGTATATATTATATATTTTTCTTTAGGAGACTTACACATATGTGTATTTATATATATTTATTTTCACGATTTGAACGTTAATAACTTTGCACTAAAATTTTGAGATATATAATTATCAACCTAACATAATGATAATGTAATCCCTTATGATACTAATAAACAGCTTAAACATTCAATTAAAAGTATTTTATTCAGGTAAGCTTGTTCAAGTTTTAGAAACCGATTCTAGAAAACATAGGAAATGGCATGCGGATGGTGGGTGTGGTGCACGGAGGTCTTCAACAACGGCACGTGGTGCGAAACGAAGGAGTGCGTCGGAGCAGCGTGGTGCACCACATGGTGGGTGACTGGGGCGTGGTGGATCACTGGAGCATAGGATCGATGCACCACAGCCGATGCCTGGGACAGAGGCTTCAATGTTGGCAGCTTCTTCAGAGGCTGCAACTGAACTTTGGGGGCCACATAAGATGCCTTCGGCTTCGCCACCACCGCGGCACTGGAGAGAGGTTCGCGGCGCACCACCGCATTGAAACCACGAACATCATCGGCGGTGTAGTCCACGGTGCGTCTGTAGCCATCGGCATCATTCACGGAGTACTGGCCGTGGACCACGTCTCCATCCCGAGACTCCGACTGGGACTTCACATCACCGGTTTCTGCGTCCTGGACGTCGTAGTTGAAGGAGTAGCGTGGATGCAACTCGTAGGTGTCGTCACTTCCGGACTTCTTCACTGGCAGTAGTGCAGCTTGGGCCAGCCCAAAAAGGGTCAACAACAACGCAATCTGTGGGTGGTCACATGATATCAGATCAGGTTCAATTTAATATGATTTACAAGGCTTACTTTATTTAACATGATGAGCACGATTTCGCGAATATGGTTAAGATTTGCTCCTGTCGGCTGCTGATTTAACACAATTTCGCTTCGGCCTGGCCATCGGCTTTTATAGGAGACTGAATGCTTGTTGACCCAATGCCACAGTGGCCTGCATCTGGATCTGGACAAGGTCATCGCGGGGACCTCCGGTCCGGTCTCTTTCTAGATCGCCTAATTGGCGCTGAGATGCCCAACGAGTTTATCAGGCAATCGACAGGTTTTCAGACCCTTTTTCATCTTCATTCGGGATTTTGGCTCCTGCCATAATTCCGCAAAGTCATTCCGAACTAAAAACTGGTAACTTGTTAGCAAAAAACAATTAAATTAATTAAAATTTGTTTTCCTGAGTACATATTAATTAATTCTTAGAATTTGTTAATATCAGAAAATTTTTATTTTGAAAAATTTCAAGTATATTGTACAATAATATATTTCGCTTTTCCAAAACTTTTTTTAAAAGCCTCGAAATATTACAAAATATGTTACTTCGTATAAATTTAACATTTTAATTTTAAGACTTTAGATTTGAAAAGTATGTATTAACATGCAATGCAAATCAGAAACCATGAACGCCGAAAACTATGCAACAAAATTTTTACTTTACTTTGAACAACAGATGGCGCTTTATATAATTTACGGATAAATTACAATTTCTAGCAATTAATTGTGTGTATTAAGTGCTATTTTTCTTAAATTTGGTTGTTTTATAGTTTGAAATATAAAAAAAGGTCGCTGAAATGCTTATAAATTGTTAATTATTAGACACATTGTTTGCACGCCTTTTAAAATGGTCAAACATCGTGTTTTTTGCTTCTGTTTTTAACTTGCTCCATTTCACCTATTTCACTTCTTACGTAAAGAAATAATTTTTTTTTATATAAATTTATTCTCACCTGGAGACTCATCTCAACTGCAGATCCGCCATTCCCCCAAAGCCTGCCAATCAACAATAAAAACTGATGCCCAGTCATTATTTCTATTTTCAGTTGAGTTGCTTTGCGCACAAATTCTGTTTCGCCAAGGGAAACAAGGGTAGTCTGTTATTTTGTGTAGAATACTTTAGAAGTGGGGGCTGTTCCAGAGAAGACTTTTCCGATTGGCCCGCTTCACTTGCGAAGCGGATAAAGAGAGCGTGCAGACTGTTGTCTCGCTTTAACTTTATCCGATTCAAAAATGAAAGACTCTTGCTACATGGGATTTGATTTAATGCCGGGCGGCTTTTTATCTTTTCCGTGTCGCTTTGCATAATTTTGCATCTTAAACAGGCAAGGTCATTCACGCGACCTTCAGCAATGTTTATGATGTTCCAATTACACGAGAGATTAAAGTTAAGTCAGGATAATTTTTAGCTCACACACAGAACTATTTAAGTTTCGTTTGAAGTCCAACCAATTAGGAATACTATGCTTAAAGTATGCAGGGTTTGATTGCAATAAAAATAGCATAAAAAATTACAGCTGAAAAACGAAACACCGAAAATATCTACATATAGAAGTATATATGTATCTACGAGTAATATCGTTTTTAAGATTTCAATATATTAACTACAGAGTAATTAATTTGAAATCATAATATTATTTAGATAAGTTCACAACAAAATTAAGCAATCAAGATTACCCTATTAAAATAAGCTTTTCTCGGTAAGCTGCTAAATACAATTAGCTTCACCTAAAATAAAAATTACTCAGTTCTCCTTTTTTATTGCGTTAATCTTTTTTTGTATTTATTTGTAGTCAAATATATTTTACTCTAATAATCTCGCACTTCTTTCCGCGCACTTGAATTAAAAATAATTGTTCGCTGATGCATTTAAGCTTCTATGGAAGTCCAAGCGCTCGAAACTTTAAGTCTATAAACTCTAATAGTTAGAGTACAGATTTAGATATAAGTAGTTATAACAACTTGCCAAGCAAATTAAAATTGTTCACCAGAGTTTCTGCAGCTGCGGAGGATCATAGAGAACCATTGTTTATTTGACAATAACACTAAGAATTGTACCGAGACTATATTCCCACGTACGATTTAGAGCACTCAAAACCACCCACCATAAAATGCATGTATGACATATTCGTTTTATATAATAAGGTTATATTCATCCTAACTTGCCTCTATCTGGTTTTGGTAAAAAAAAAATTAATTTTTTACTGCGGAACACAAACAATAATAAAATTCGTGTGCAATTCGCATCTTAACAATACTTCTTCATTAATTTTTGTGTTCGAAAATTATTTTTTAGTAAATATTATGAAAAGCATATTAAGAGGAAAACATTCTTAAAATAAAAAAAGGTATATAGCGACCTCATTGCACCGAATCGAAACCACCGACTTATATTGTGGAATTTTCATAAGTCCAGAAAAATATTGGGCGTCGGTAATTACAGGTATCAATCAAGGAAAACTTGGTAAGATCCCCGCGAAGGTGTTTGGAATCAGTCGAAAAACGAACATGTGATGAATTCAGCAACTAATTGGGGTAGGAAGCTTAAAATGCTATTCATTAACATAACGAGCTTGTCTCGGCTGATTTTATATTCAATTAAAGAGGCGACGGACCAGTTAGCACAACTCTTGGCCAACGTGCAACAGGCATCCGTCGCCGACTCTGCAGAGCCTGATAAGTACATTCGATTAATTAATCATTACAGAAGCGAACAAAACGCCAGAGTCAAAAGCTGCACAAAACCGAAAGCCCAGAAAAAAACTGAAACAAAAAAATGGCACAAATATCGATTTACCCAAAATTACAAAGGAAACCCGAAAAGTACCGCCAAGTTTTGTTCTTGGAGCGGTGACAGTCGGCGCCGGGCAATCCATCAATTTGGTGCAGTGCCAATTACGCCAGTTACTCGTCACGTCACGTCTCGAACACCGGCGGAATACGGACAGCGGACAGCGGACAACGGACAATGTACAACGGACACCAAATACCGGACAGATACGGGCTTCCGTAGGGGGAGACACCAAAGCTATGTTAGAAAAAATCGAATCGAATCAGCGTAAATCGAACGACGGCAGTTCAAGTTATTGGAGTTTTGGGGCTATTCAGCGGCGCCCCCATCAACTTGGCGTCAGCCTGTGGTCAGTTTTTAAATATTCCGGTCGGTCGTAAAGGTTTGACGCCTCTCGTTGTTGCTTGAGACGTCATCTAGCCCATATATCTTACTTCCGACGCTTTTCATGGCGCTAAACAGACGTTAATGGCGCGCCTAACAAATCCCTTTAAAATCATGAGGTGTATCAAGCGCTCGACTAGACACGCATACTTATGCACTAACAAGTGAAAAAGGCTTTTATTGTCTATGTCAATCGATTGTGATACAGATAGATCTTTACAGATAGGCATATATTTATTGTTGGCTTTAACGAGAAACAATTAGTATATAGTGCATTTAGATTCTGATCAAAAATAATTATAGTGACTAGAAATTTGTTTTTTAATGGAGAGTACAAATGAAATCTTTACTTGCAATAAATATTTTCGACAACACAAAACAAAAAAAATATCCTGTTTATATACATATCCTGTTTAACAAACACTTATACTTCTGATGACCTAAGAAAAAAACAACTTTGACATTTTAAGTTTCTTTTAAAAACTAAACTGTTTTCTCGGAAACTTTTTTAAGTATTTTAATAAGAATACCATTTCATTTGAATTTTTATTACTGTGATCAAAACATTAATTGTTTAGCTAATTTATTCTTTCCTAGCTTTAGCTTTTATACACATTACTACATTACTGCATACTGTGTATTGCGAAAATGCACAAATCGCTTTAAATTTTTTGAAAGAAACGTTTTGCCTTTAACGGTGTAAAGTCCACATTATATTAATTAGGCCATATTCTATTTGTTAAGTTTTAAATTGCCAGTTCATTACGTTAAATAAATTGAAAACAGTAGTCTCAAAGAAAATGTTGAGGTATCTTTGCACAAAAAAAAATAAATGAAACAATACAATTAGGAAGCCATAATCCTGCACCAAAAAACTGGCATATTAAGTAATTAAAACCCGAATTTCATTGAAAACTCAAGAATTAACCCAACATTTCGTATTCTGCAATATTTTCGTTACATTTTGAAGCAAAATCGAGTTTTTCTTTCGGATTGTTAAAAACACTATTATCGTAACAAACAAACAAAGCGGAAATATCGCCAACCTCCCCAGCAACTGACAGGCAATATCCCAATCCCAATCCCAACCCAATTCAGAAACAAGGATATTTCAGCCTCACATATAGTAGTCTTCGCCTGGGACAGTTTCAGTTTTGGGATTGGGCCGAGGTGTGTTGGTTGTGTACATATGTGTGTGCACCGAAAGACACTCGCACACATCCTGTTACTATTAATTGCTGCTGTCCGAAAAATATAACAAATCACCTTGGAGCGTTGGGCAGGAACGCCCGAAAGGACGAAACGAATGGCCACTCCACTCCAGGCTCCCTCCCCCTCCGAGTTCCCCAGCGAGCGTAGAGACAAAAACTTGTGAAAATGTCAATCAAGTTGTACAAAAAACGAGAAATTCCCAATCCGATGAGGGAAGGAGCGAACAACGAAGTTTTCCAGACAGCCAAAGATGATGCATTGTGCGTGAAAGGTGCATGGAGATATCTGACGGTTGTATCTCTATCCCTGCCAAGTGACAGACCCATACACCGGATAACTCTTAGGGGCGCCTACGAATTGCATCCCACTGAGTCAGAGCCAGGACAGAGTCAAACTCGGAGGTAAAATCCGGAGTCGGAGTTGGGGAAGCCGTTCGACGACGATTTAAATTCCACAGCGCTGCCATAGATGAGCTGTCATATGTGCAAATGACGATTGACAGCTGCCACAGTCAGCATCCGTTTGCAGCTCCTCCCGGCCACAGTCACAGTCACAGTCCCACTCCCGATACCATTCCCAAAACCCATTCCAATCCTAGTGGCCAATTCCCATTCCCGGGCCTGCTCCTCTTCGTTACCTGCCCGTCAATTCAGTTGGGAATTTCGTGCGAGGTGCTAAAACGTGCCAAAACCACAAAACAAATACACAACATTGGGTTTCCAGTTAAAACAAGACGTCGACATGAGCATGGTCAGGGGCGTAACTTTTAGTACTATCAGCGGGCGGCAAAGCCGGATTAGCAGGCAATATCGTTATGGGCCCAAAGGTTGTGGTTTTTGAGACGTACAAAAAAAATATTCGGAATTCGGAGGCGGAGTGTTGACTTCAATACAATTTTATTGAATGAAGAGGAAATATCATAATTTAAATGCAATCCTGTGTCTAATTCTTTGAGTTGAGGGTGATAATGACCAGTTTAAACTCTTGGTATATATAAATCTACATTTAATTTGATTGCATTCTAATAATATTGTTTAACTTAGGACTTTTTATCCTTAGTTCTCACTGTTAAAAAAAAATGAACTACACAAACACATTTTCTGAAATGTACAATACCTAAAACCGTCATATCTTTTTAATTTTTCTCTTTTTTAAAAAAAGATAAGTAAATTTTTTAATATCAGAATATTAATCGCATATAGTATCTTATTGGGTTTTCCTGATGTTATGATGCCGTTTTATGGTGTTCAATTTTTAAAATAACATAAAACCCAATAAATTTAAAACATAAGAACTACATGTTCTTGAGATTGAGTCGATGAGTTGCACGAAACTAATGAAGTTGAAAACAAACGTTTTTTTGTTTTGTTTTTAGATTTTTAAATTATTCAGCTACAGCTACTGCCCTAGATCAATAATTTATATTTAAGTTTCTTAACAAGGCTTAGTCAAGTTCGAAGGGAGTTTTTGGTTTTTATTTTCAAACCAATAAACAGGTATTATATATGGTAAATAAAAATTGTCTTAATTAGCAGAAATGTAACATAAATAGTGTTTTTAAAAAAATTAGCGAACATATCAATTGCTGATCCCATCTTCTAATAATCCCAGCAGAATCAGCACCAGGTATTGCATAACTCCGACTCGCCACTCATAGATCTTCCATCTTGGTCGTGGACAATCCGCTCCTGCCATGGCGACTAGCAAAAAACACGGGCGAACAGAGAACGAGAAAATCTAAATGGAAACGGCAACTGCCAAAAACCGGTAGTGAACATATATATGACTAACCCCCGAACCACTGATAAGGCCGCTTGTCCGAGAAACAAGAGAGTGCGAGAGGGACGACAGTCGCACCACCTATACTAGACCCATACGAGAAAGCGAGACAACAGGTTGACTGCAGGAGGCGTGGCCAAAGTCGAGCGGTTTCTGTGGTCTGAAAGAAATCGGGTTCGGGCCAGTAATCAGTCACGACTTGGTTAGCGCGCAGGCAGCACGTCGTCGTCGTCGTCATCGTGATCGTCATCGGGTGTCGTGTTTGCAGTTCGAAAGATAAAACCCCCAACCGATAGCCCTCGACCGTCGCGTAATTTCCGCAGAACTAGCCACTCGATATCGTTGCAAGAACTGTGCGGCAAAGAAGTGAAGTGAAGTTAGTGATTAACCGGTGTACCGAGCCTGGGAGAAAGTGCGGTTCCGGCTGGACAATATGATGGACGTAAGCAGCATGTACGGCAACCACCCGCACCACCACCACCCACATGCCAATGCCTACGACGGCTACGGCACCACCCCCACAGCAGCTGCCAGCGCGAGTGGCTACTTTGCCCCGCAGCAGCACCAGCACCACCTGCAGCAACAGCAGCAACAGCAACAGCAGCAACATCAGCAGCTGCAGCAGCAGCACCAGCCGCACTTAAGCTACAACGGCTACGAGAGCAGCTCACCCGGCAACTACTATCCGCAGCAGCAGGCGCAGCTCACCCCACCGCCCACTGGCAACCACCAGGGGGTGCAACAGCAACCGCAACAGCAGCAGCAGCAGCAGCAGCAGCTCTATCCGCACTCGCACCTTTTCAGTCCCAGTGCGGCGGAGTACGGCATCACCACCAGTACGGCGACGGGGAATCCGGGCACGCCTTTGCACCCCAGCAGCCACTCCCCGGCGGACTCATACTACGAGAGCGACTCCGTGCACTCCTACTACGCCACCGCGGCAGTGGCCACCGTCGCCCCACCCAGCAATAGCTCACCGGTAACAGCGGCCAATGCCACTGCCACCAGCAACACGCAGCAGCAGCAGGCGGCGATCATCAGCTCGGAGAACGGGATGATGTACACCAACCTGGACTGCATGTATCCGGCCGCGCAGGCGCAGGCTCCGGTGCACGGCTACGCCGGCCAGATCGAGGAGAAGTACGCCGCCGTGCTGCACGCCAGCTACGCCCCAGGATTGGTGCTGGAGGAGCAGGAGCCCATGATGCAGCAGGCCACGCAGTCGCAGATGTGGCACCACCAGCAGCACCTGGCCGGGGGCTACGCTCTGGATGCCATGGACTCGCTGGGGATGCACGCGCACATGCACCACGGCCTGGCCCACGGACACCTGGCCAACCTGGCCGGCAACCCGCACCAGCAGCATCCCCAGCTGCAGCAGCAACAGCAGCAGCAGGCGCACCAGCAACAGCAACACCCGCAGAACCAATCGCCAGCGGCCCAGCAGCAACACCAGGCCTCCGTGTCGCCCAACGGCGGAATGAGCCGCCAGCAGCGCGGGGGAGTCATCTCCCCCGGCAGCTCCACCTCCTCCTCCACCGCCTCCGCCTCCAACGGAGCACATCCTGCGAGCTCTCAATCAAAATCGCCAAACCATTCCAGCAGCATTCCCACCTACAAGTGGATGCAGCTCAAGAGGAACGTTCCCAAGCCGCAAGGTAAGAGTCAAACAAATGAATTATTTATTACAAAATAGGTAACAAGAATGGCATTCACCCTGGGAAAGGCAACAGGGGTTCCTTACAAAAAAAATTTGTAAACCGTATTACTTATACAAGTTTAATTTATAAAAAATGTAAATACTTTGTGAGTAATGCATATTACTATTGAATATTTAGGTAATGAAAAATGCCATAATCGGGTGCCTGCGGGTTCATGTATTTTTTTTAAGGAGAAGTACTTTTATTTAGAGTTCAAGTTTAATTTCTTAAAAACCTATAAAATCAATATTTCCAGAAGTTGGGAAGTTCCTGTGCTTGAAGAAGAGGTTCAATAAATGTGTGTGGTATAGATAAAATAACAATTAGTTTAGTTCATTTAACAACTAAGCTTCTAGCCATAGAAAGTGGACCAAAAAAAAACCCTTTGATTCGAAAAACTATAATATTTCTCTAAAAAATATGAACCTACATAAGATGCACTCCAAAAACTTAATCTTCAAAATGATAACGCTAAGTGTTCCAGTAACAGCGAGATTCTGGATACTATACTTTTTGTTTCTCAATATATATTGATATATTTTATATTAAAATTCTTAACATAGTTAGAATAAACATACCTTGATGGGAACCGTTACTAAAAGTTTGTTTGGTATTTTTAAAATTGATCAAATTGTTAAAAGGCATTCATATTCGTAAAATATTTCAATAATTAGTGGTAACTAATCACACAAGAGGTGCCTTTTAGGAACGCCTTCGGTAATTACAGAACCACATACATATTTAGCTAATTACCACCTTTCCGCTTGTTCCCTGCCTGACAGTAAAAAAAGTGTCAACTTAATGGGTTTTCTCAATAGATCAGGTATTTGGTTTTGGAATATATTAAGCTAATCAGGCAGCAATTATGCAAACAAATAAACACACTCTTGTACACAAACAAAAGGTTTATTTAAAGAACTTTAAGCATGCCAACAAAAATGAAAATAAATTATAAAATATCAGAAAACGATGACTTTCAAATTGATTGACAGGCCAAAATACAAGAATCAGTCAATCAGTGAAAACCGAAGAAGACGAATAAGAACAAGAGTAAAATGACGTAGACAAGCAGATTTAACAATAACAAACGTTACAACAATTAAACAAGGAATGCGAGTGGACTTACCAAAATTTATTTCAACACGCATATATCTAACTAAAATATTAACAATTAGCACTGCAAATTTAGCGAACATAGAGCCACTTGATGCGTCAGACAAAATGTCAAGAAAGACGTCCAACCGAGGGCATGTCACCTAAAAATAAGAATGTCTCTGCAAACGCCGAAGATTTCGCTTAGCCCCCTCCCCTCCATTCTACAGCCCCCGGCTACAGTATCTCAATTCTCCCCGATCTCCTCTTCACCTTCCATATTTTCGCCGTTCTTTTGGACTCTCCTTTTGGCATATTTCTTGCATATTTCAGATAATTTTGTCAATGCCTGTGCAGTCAGTCAGGTTGTCACTTGTCACATTGCCGAGTGGAGTTTTGTATCTCGGAATTAGCCAGCTAAGAAAATGTATTTGCTTTGATAAAAAAAGATTTCAATAAGGCATTATACATTCATATGATAAATTAAACGTTGATTATCCCAAAGAAGCAGCTGCCACTGAAAAAACAAGTATGCTTATTGATTTTTCATGAATTGCATAAAAATTCGAGCGTAAGCTTTTAATTGCTTTCATAGGAGTTTGAGGTCATTCAAATAAATATAAACAACTTTTTAAATGGTCATACAAATTAAAGCTTAGCCCTGGATTTTAAATAGCTTTATATAGCCACATTTAATATAGATTTTATTTAAAGCAAAAAATTTTAAAGTAGAAAAGTTGAGTTCTTAACACAGACTAAACTTTTTTAAATTAAAATTTCAATATTTCGTTGAGCACATTATTCTTTATGACTTTATTTATTTAAAGTTAATATATTTTCAACGTACAAAATTGTTCAAAACTTCCATTAAAATATTATCCTTTATTTATTTTGTACACAAAATTCTGCTACCCACATTGAAATACTCCATCCGTCCCCCAAACCTGTTGACCAAATTCAGTGCGTTTGTGGGCCTCTTGGTAATGCACTTAACCTGTTCGTGATTTGAGTTGCACAACTGACGCTGATCGCTGATATCGGAGCATCGAGCGTCGGACCACTTACAGTTCAAACGTTAATCCCTTGGCTACACCAATAATCATACAAATATTTGCTTATTAATGCTGAAAAGTGTCATTTACATGCATCGTTTTCAATTAAACGACGCCACAGAGGCCCGGGCCGAAGGCAGCCGATCAGAGATCCCAGATCTCCGATCCGAGATCCCCACGCGCCGCACCCAAAACCGAACCGCCTCAAGACCCAAATACGATCCCCAAAGCCCCTCGAATGACGCGTGCAAGTGGAACCAGGCGCTAAGATGGGGAGCTGCGAGGGGCGGAGGGTTGTGGACTGCACAGAAAAAAAAAGTTATTATACAACAGTCCCTTATTATAGTTGAGTTACGATATGCTTTTGATTACTTTTAATTGTTCTCCTGAAATACTAACACCTTCTTTTTATTAAAATCCATCCATGTTTAGCAAAAGAGTTTTTTATTTATTATTGTTGTTGGACAGCATTCAAATTTCTTATAAAAAAAAGATTTTACAATATGCCTCCAAGCTCATTACAACTTTTCATTTGGTTTCACTTAGGAGCCTAATTTTTTAACATAGCGAGAATCAAATCAACAAACAATAGTATATTACCAATAAGGGAAGGACTTTAACTGCTTTCAGCAATAATTCCTTTTTCGTATTCCAACATATAATGTACAAAATTATTCTTTCACATATAACTCTGGAAAAAAACAACTAGAAACAGTTTGCAATCCAAATAAGATATCCCCGTATAAAAAACAACACAGAATTAAATAGTTTTCTTTTAATTTAAAATTTCTATTACCAAATTCCAACTTCTTATGATTATCGACTTGGAATATTGAATTTTCTCTGGGTGTCGCAGGGGCGACCGCAAGTCAAACAAACAATTAAAGCGTGCAGCCAGCGGTGGGGCGATGCAGCTCGAGTCCAGAATGAAACTTGGAACGAAGGGGAAGGGGGGAGGAATTGGGGGGCAGGGGCTGCTCCTCGGCATGCCGAACTCGAAATGGAAGTCAAGTTGGCTGTCAGAAAAAATGATTATTTAAATAAGAGTCTCTCGTTTGAGCCTCACTGCAACCGAACTGTCACTGAGCAATGATCTGCTGCCTCGCGGCTCCCCTGGAATCCCTTGTTGCTTCATGTTGGTTGCTGGTTGTTGGATACTGGAGGATGGAGGCTGGATGCTGGGCATTGGATGCCACGAAATGCTGCTCGCTGTGAGCTCCGCGCACATGCTTGGGTCCATCTGTCATGTCATCCATTTTCAGGCAAGGAAACAGCATAATCAGCAATCATGGTTATAAATGGTAGCGTTCGACATATTGGCATTCACGCACAACGCAGACGCACATCCCGACTGGATGTGCGCTGACCAGTCTTCGATGCAAAGAGTTCTCTAATGTGTTAATCAGCATTTTCCAGTAACCAGACCACGATCTTCAGTCGCAGTTGCTCCCATTGCCATAAAGATTAATGGACATTTTTACAGGGATTTGTCACTGACTAGGCATTGGTTTAGGATCCACAAATACACACGGAGAACTTTCTACTTCTTCGGTTACCAATATCAATCAATGTGCGAAATCTCGAAAGAGCTCTTGACACGATTATGATGACACCTAGATAAAACTAAAATTAGCTAAAGTTGAACAAAATAAACCAAGCAGGGAACCCAAAAACTTATCCATCATTCAAATGTCAGGGTTAAAGTATTTAGAAGTCTTAGGAACTCAGCGTTTACGTAGGAATTATGCGAGATTTGAGTGGAGTGAATTGACGCTATGCTAAGGGGAAACCTATAGATAATGTTAGAATACCATAGACGATAGGTTGGATGTAAATAATAGATCTTAAATCTTGTTACCTCGATTGAGTGATTTTTGTTTTTTTAAGCTGTTTTCAATACTTTGAACCACTCATTTAAAACAGTTTTGTTTTTACCCAAACCATTTCGTTTCATTGATTTACCTGCCTATCTATGCATCTATCCCTTATTAGCACCCAGCTAAAGTTTTACGACCTGATATAGTGATAATTCTGTTTATTTTTATTAGCCTTTTGATGGGCCCCGACATAATTGAAAAGTTCCCATTGAGGCGGTTTCGGCCTTGTTGTGGCTGAACAGTTTAATTAATGCCTGGCAACTGGAAGTTCTCGGCTGGCTCTGTTTCTGTTCGTGTTTTATTGTTTTTTAAACGATCTACCACTTTGTTCGACAGTTTCGCCCACTCCCCGGAGAGGCGGGTGGGAATTTCCACACGCAAAGCTGGCGCTCAGAAAATATGAAATATGAAAATAGCTGACAAAAGTGAAGGAAACTCGAATTAACATAAATGTAGGTGGAAAAACGAACAAAACAGAAAACTTTTGGCCAAAACGTTGCAAAAGGTGTTAGTTCTCTGGGCCACCAGAAGTTTGGGCCAGGGGAGGAGGAGTGGCAGGGGCCATTCGCTTGGGGTATTCAACATTTATTTGATGTGATGTTTTGATATTTCTTGACACCAACACGCGACGCGGCCCGAAGAGCGACGAATGTGCCACAATGAAAACGAAATGAATTAATTACGTGCATTTCAAAACAAAAATTGGTAAGATATCCAAGCCAGCGAGCGGCGACCGAGAACCCCGAAACAAAAACCCTCGCACAAAAAATGAGGCACACTATTTAAATGAAATGATATTGTGGATAGAAAAGTGACCACCAGGAATGCGAGATAACATCAAACGCTTGCCCAAGCCCAGCCGAACCGAACCAAGCTGAACCTAACCGAACAGAACTGAGAGCTCGGCCGGGAGCCCCGCCCGCCTGTCTGTCACCGA